TGTCACGAAAAATTGACAAATACATTTATCTTTTTAACTGATATTTTAAGGAGGAATTTTGTCTTAGTCACTCATGGGAGTTGAAGGGTTACACAAGTCATGAACATGTAAGAGGGCAATGAGAGCTTCTTTTTAATTTACAAGGAGAAAATGGACTTATTTTCATAATTTTAGAGTAACTTATAAGAGTACACAAAGGTATTCCAGTAAAGTTGAATCTCGATTATCTGGACCCCGGTTATCCGCATTTCTCGATTATCCGGAATATTTCTCTGGTCCAGCGTTTTTCATGAATATTTATTAGTCATGTTCAAGATTAGAAGCCATATTCTTTTCAAAACTACAGCGTTGAAAAGTGAAGTTAAGGCGATGTTCTTCTTTAAGACAAACTGACTTACTTCAACATTTTAGGCCAGTCTAAAAACATTTCATTAACTCTAATTGTTAATAAACACGTGTAGAGGTATTCACATTGGACAGTGAGGTTGTAGACCACATCTTAATTTTTTTTAAATAGTTCATCAATGTTTTGTTTCAGTAATAAATGTCACTTTCTTGTTTAAACCTCATTTGTTCCTCATTAATATTCATAATCTAGATTATTCAGACTATTTCATCTGGTCCTAACGAGTCCAGATAATCAAGGTTCGACTGTACAATATACATGTACAATTCTCTATTATATTACTGTAACTACAAGCTAAACTCCTGCAAAAACATGGACTCACACTTTAAAGCCTGAGCTCTCGGGTGAGCAAATTTGAGCCCCATCAACAGCATTCTTTAACCGGTCCCTAAGTTTTTCCTCCATATTCTTGGGCAAATCAGGATGCATAAACACTTCAATCCAAGCTTTTCGCAACCTACAAAGGTGAAGCAGAATCCAAAGTAAAAAAAAAGTAAATTTAATGTATTCAAGTATTGATGAACAACCTCAAGCACATTAAGACTTCTTAAATAAATTGCTGCTACAAAAAATCATCATTGTTTAAATAACAAATGAAAATGCTTATCTTCCAAAGCACCATACCTTTTCATTGCTGACACAACTTGGCCTGAAGGCAACCTTCAGAGAAAAGCAACAAACATTTATATTAACTGATACAAATTATAGAGTCAGGTGGTGTGAAATATTGTCAAGTGCCCCAGTGATAAAGAAAACAAAATTAATGCCAAGTTCCCTGGGAAAACAAATTTTCCAGCAGCAATAGGAGCTTTGGATGCTTGAACTTAATTCAATCAGAGTTCAAATTTTTTCCCAGACATGGAGAAATACAAAAGAGAATCCTCATTATTCAAATTGCAAATAAACCAGCTTAAACCTTAACACCTGTATGTAAGTGTAAGTTCTAAGTGTGACATTTTTTCTTGCTGGTTTTTCTTTTGCTTTTTTGTTTGCTTTTTTTTTTTTCTTCCCTCTTTGTGTGTTTGGAGTCCATTTATTTAAGTCTTTTCACTTTGTAATTATACTTATTGTTTCATTAAGGCTTTTCTCTGTCATTTTGTTGCCGCCTTATGTCACTCTGTGCTGTCTGGATAATTTATCATTTAATATAACTGTTTTCTCATTTTCGCTAAGCACAATTTAGTAATGTTTCTGTGGCTGTAACAATGTCAGTATTTTAAAGTCCTCTTTCTGTCTTGTTGTTCATTATTTTTTTAGGTTGTGTATTGTGTAACTAGTGTAACTGTTTGTTATTTTCTTAAGTTTCAACCAATGTCAGTTATACAGCATTATTATGTTTGCATAAGAGATGCAGAGTTGTCAATTCCCAGGCACAGATTTCACATAAGTGCAGCTACACTATATAGTTTACATTTCCTACAGTACTGACCAAAAGAGAATTTGTTAAACAATCTGGAGCTTGTTTGGTCAGTGATCATTTCCTTTATTCTCATCACCCCAATGTTTGATTCAGGGGTGGCATTGTGATGAGATATTATAGGCTTGTCACTCTCAGGGGTAAAAGGAATAAACATTATACGGCAAATTGCAGTGTATACACAGGCTTTTCCCATTTAGAGTAGCAGGAGAA